TGAAATTGCCCAGTGCATTTGAAAGGTAAGTTTTCTTTCATGCTGTGGCGTTGGCTGGCTGAGTAGGTGGCAGTGCTGCATGTGCAAGTCCTAGTTACCTTTTCAGTTTCTCTTTTCGTTTAGAGACTAAAAGCTTCTTTAATACAATATTTCTTTATCATTATTATTCAGTCCTCAAGGCTGATCTAAGAAGAAGAATTACTTTTTGTTGACTTAATTATTTTCATTTGAGGCACTTAGTCCCATTATTCTTATCAGAAATTCTCAAACATGCTCCAGTTTTCCAGCTACGGTAAAATACTCGTCCTTTCCATTCCTGATAGATTTCGTTATAGTGTTATAGCAAATATTACTAAAATAGCTACCTGCAAAAAAAGTAAAAATTTATCTCAGGAAAAGAGTTTGGTTAATTTTTTAAACTTAAAGGTTAAAATAGGCTTTGTAAATAGCTCAGAAGAAAAAATCATTGAATTTTTCAGTGCTCGATTAAGACATAAAATGTGATTCTTGATGTGCAGAATTCTGTTTGTTAATGCAGCTTTATAGCGAACATACTAAGTTTTAGAGGGACAACTCAGCCAGGCCTCTGGTTGAACTGTGGCTCCTGCTGCAAGGTAATGATCATTTCAGACTTCTTTTCTGTTGATTTTGTATTGTGGAGACTTTTCCCAGCCCTCTGACAAAAGCTCCTGTGGCCAACAATGATGTTCTGAAGTGTTTATCGTCAGTCCTCCTCCCTCTCTGCTCGTGCCAGAGAAGCCAGGTCGCGACATGCTAAAGCTCGCTTTTACTACGTCCCCTGGAAAATCTTCACTTAGATCTTTGTTTTACCTATTCCTCAGTCAACTAATATTTGTTGGGTTCCTGTATTGTGCCATAGCGCAGTGCTAGATTCTGGGGTTGCTACAGGGTACTGACCTCATGAAGTTTTACAATTCAAGTTTTACAAACTTACCAACACGATACAAGAAAAAATGGTTCTAACAGAGTGTGTGTTCAGGAGCAGCAGGCTGTGGGGAGGGAGCTTGTCTACCGGAGATGGTGCTGCCACGGTATAACCTGAGAGCCACTTAAAAAGGGCTCTCAAACAGCATAGTTTGGGTAGGTTATTTAGATTACATGGCACTGCGCTGGAACCGGGAAGCCCTCTGATTCCATGCTCAGAGCTATTTAAAATTACTCTGACACACAAAATCAATCAGTGAGACTGTGAAAATGCTAGAGCTCCAGCCTCTCACAATGAATTCCTAACGCCGTGGATTAAAACGTAAGGCTCTCCTGCTAAGGTCTTCGGTTCTACTTCTGTAAACCTTAGAAATCCCAAGTGAGTAGAAATTTAAAAGTTGTTGGAGAGCTGATGAAAGGAAGATATGATAACATGTCATGAAAAACAAAAAGATTTTCCTCCCCCAACTTAAAAAAAAAATTTTAATTCATAGAAGCATTGAAGGAATAGTGTAATGAGCACCAGTATACCCTTCATCTAAGTTCACCAAGTTGTTTCATTTTTCCACATTTGCTTTCTCCATATATATGTGTGTACATACATGGAATATATGTACTTTTGCTCAATCACTTGACAATAAGTTATAGACACCACAGAAATTATAACACTTTACCCCCAAAAACTTCAGCGTTCCTCTAAGAATGGCGTTTTTCTACATATCCACAAATACCATTATACACCTAAGAAAATTAATATTAATGCAATAATGTCTAATAAACAGTATCTCAGTTTTCCCAAGTGCCCCCAAAATGTCTTTTAGATGATGCCCTGTTGTTTAATGATTCAAAATCTATCTAATGTTTATATGTTGCATTTGGCATTTATTTTTTTAATCTAGAAAAGTCCTTTTTTCATGTCATTGGCTTTTTTGAAGAATCCAAGACAGGTCTCTTGTAGAATGTCCCTTATCATTCGGTGTTCTAATTATTTCCTCCTGACTAGATTCAGGTTAGCACTTTTGGCAACAGGACTCCATTGGTGATGCTGCATTCTTGCCAGGGCAGCAAATCAGGAGGCACGTGGTGTCACGTTGTCTCTCTGCTGATGCGACACTGGTTAAGTTGGTCATTACCAGGCCTCTCCGTTACAGAGATAAGTTTTCGAAAAGAACCTCAAAGTCCTAGAAATTTCCAATGATTTTTGTTTTTTTGGTTTTTTGTTTTTTTAACAAAACAAAGCTCTTACCACTACCAGCTTTCCTTTTCATTTACAAAAAGTTATGCAGTTTTTAAGCTAGGACAGGTGTGTGACTGAGGTGTATTGAATCTGGTGCAAGTTTCATCAACCTTCTTAAGTCTCTGAAACTCCGTTAGTGTTGTGGCACACCCCTTAGCCAGGAGTCATCTATCTATTTCTCTCTCTCTCTCGTGTTTTTAAGAGGTATGTAGTTCTTTGTGAATACGAACATAACCTGAACTCACACACTGCTAAAAATGAAGAAATAAGGGCATACACAGCCTCTCTTATTTCTTGTTACCAAAATACCCTTTTTGGATTTGTAAACTGTTGGCGAAGAGGTAAATATGCAGCAATACTTTTTTTTTTTTACTTTTCAAATACTTTATCATATTTGGGCTGAGCTTAAAAGGGAGAAACATACCAGACTTTAGAGCATTTTATTTTAGTGTGGTTTAGGATGAGAAGCTGTATGTTAGTTGGCAAAATGGGGAGAGGAGAGAAAATAATCATTTCCTTAAATGTGAAGCTTTGATCCCAGTATCTCCATAGGACTGTGACATCTGAAACAGCAGGTTAAAGTCAGCTCTTTCCCCTCCAGAAGAAACTGCATTCTGTTCCAAACATCCAAATGGTACAGACCCTGATGTCCTGTGAAGTGGTGCAAACCATTCCATCTGGCTGTAGAGCCTGACCTTTTCCCACAGTCCCCTGCTGCTGTCTGAGGCTGAGCTTTAGGGCCCTTGGGGTGAATGCCCTAGAAAAGGGCTAAAAGAGCTGTTGGCCTGAATTTCTCTGCTTTTACTTCGGGCAGTGGAACGTCTGGCTTGAAGGACTCTTTATGGTCTGAAGCACTTGGATAAAATTCAAAACTGAGACGTACTGACGACATTTTCTCTCAAATTCTTTCTTCTTATAACAAGTAGAGAGTGTCTTATTAACCAAAAATCTTTAATAAGCAGGAAGATTTGCTCCTTGTTCCAGCTAATGCCTGCACCCAACTCATTTGGGCCTGTTGGAATTTATTTAGCCAAGTGTGCTTTGAAGAACTGTCTCATCCAGGAGGGAACGTATCAATGTCTGGTCATCCAACCCTACTTTCCTTCAAACTGAAACATTGATTTTCATGCCACTTTAATTTCCCAGTAGGGCAAAATAGAATGCAAGTAACTTTTAAACAGGTATGAGTCCAGTGAGGCTTAACGTGTTTATGTCTGTCTGCCGCTAAGCAGAGGGTTTTAAAGTTGGAAATTGGCCTTACGGCTAAAATTCTGCCTGTTGGGGATTTTTATTGCAAGAGGTTAGAGCAGGAAAGTCTGGTGATGAGATTGAGTAAACCTGCAACTGAGCTTTTTGTTTTTCTCGAAGCTTAACCTGGAGTAAGATGAGTCTCTCATTTTGACAGGGGCAGGTCACTTCCATAGCTCTTGAGGCTAGCCCCAAGTGACATTTTTTCTTTTTTTTTTTAACAACTTTTAAAGATTTTATTTTTTCCTTTTTCTCCCCAAAGCCCCCCAGTACATAGTTGTATATTCTTTGTTGTGGGTCCTTCTAGTTGTGGCATGTGGGACGCCGCCTCAGTGTGGTTCGATGAGCAGTGCCATGTCTGCGCCCAGGATTCAAACCAATGAAACACTGGGCCGCCTGCAGCGGAGTGCACGAACTCAACCACTCGGCCACGGGACCAGCCCCCATTTTTTCTTTTTTAATGAACTCTGCAACTTAAGCAATAATTTAGAAGAGCAAAACTTTTTGACTGACAGGCAAGTTGTAGCTCATAAAAGTGTGTACTGAGCTCAGAAGTGTATTGACACCTAGCCAGGGAAGGAAAGCCTATCGATGGATCTGGAGGTAATCACAAACTAATTATGAGCTCGATTTAGGCCAGGAAGGCAGCTTGGTTTCTTTCTTTTTTGTATTGAAAGGCACGTCTTGTGCTGTCTCTGGCAGTGAAATCAATTCTGTGAAATGGCCTTGTCCTTCCAGCCTGTGTGTTCCATACTCGCAGCACAATGCATTGAGGAACGCTGAAGCAGGTGAGCAAATCCAATATTTCATTATAGTTACGAGAGACACCTGCTAAAGGCAACTCACAGTGTGGAAATACGGAAACCAAATTACTGAAGTAATAGGTTAAGGAATTGATTATTATAAAAGATGGTTTTTCCTTTCAAAAGGTTCCTCCTTGTAGATATCATTCCTTGTAAATATACTTAAAGGAAGAAGGTGGATTTTTAAATGTATTTTATTTTAGTTTTTTTAGTCACAGAATTTCAGAGCAGAAAAATAATCGGAGAGAGAGAATCTATTCTAACCTTACCATTTCACAGATGAGGAAATGGGCCCAGAAAGGTAAGGCCTATAGCCCTGGTCCCTGTAGCCTACGCCAATGTACTGTCAACTATTTCTTTTTCAAAAGTGGCAGTGGCTGCCGAGGTTTACAATATACATTTTTAACTAAGTCCACTTTCAAATAACACTATTTTCCACATGTAGTGTAGGTACCTTAGCAGAGTATTCCCAGTTCCTTCCTCCCATCCCTTATGATGTTGCTGTCACTCATTTCACTTACCCATATGTTATGATCACCCAATACATTGCTAGATCAATTAATTTTAAAAATCAGAGATTTGAGTTTATCTTCATTAATTTCTTCTCCGACACTTTTCTTTATGTTGATCCAAGTTTCCCATATAATTTTCCTTTTAACATTTCTTTGCAAGGCAGGTCTTCTGGCAATGAATTCCCTCAGTTTTTGCTTGTCTGAGAAAGTGTTCATTTCTCCTTCACTTTTGAATGATAGTTTTGCTGGGGATGGAATTCTAGGTTGGTGGTTTTTCTTCTTTCAACGCTTTAAATATTTCACTTCACTGTCTTCTTGCTTGCATGGTGTCTGAAGAAGCCCACTGTTATTCTTATCCTTATTACTCTATAGGTAAAATGATTTTCCCTCCCTCCTCTGACTTCTTTCAAGATACTTCTCTGTCTTTGATTTTCTGAAGGTTGAATATGATATGGGTAGGTGTTATTTTTTCAGTTTATTTCTGTTACAGTGTTTTTGATTTCTAGCATTTACTTTTGACTCTTTCTTAGAATTTTCATCTCTCTGCTTTCGTTACCCATCTGGTCTTGCATGTTGTATACTTTTTCTGTTAGAGCCCTTAACATATTAATCACAGTTATTTTAAATTACCTTTCTGATAATTCCAACATATGTGTCATATCTGAGTCTGGTTCTGATGCTTGTTTCCTGTCTTCAGACTTTGTTTTTTGCTTGCCTTTTAGCCTGGCTTGTAATTTTTTGTTGAAAGCTGGACATATTGTATTGGGTAATAGGAACTGAGATGAATAGGCCTCTAGTGTGAGCTGTATGTTCATCTGGGCTAGGAGTTGGGTTGTTTCATGTTTGTTGTAGCTCTTGGTGCTAGAGGCTTTGAATTCCTCTAGGGTGCTTGTTTTTATTTCCCTTCTTTGGGCTTCCGTAAGTTCTCCTTCTCAGAGAGAACCAGTGTCTTGCAGATCTGTAAGCACCAATCCACTGTTGCACTGGAGCCCTGTTGGTATGTTGGTGAGACATGTGGGAGAGGAGTAATCTCTAATCTTATGATTAAGTCTCAAGTCTCTTAGTGGGCTTGAGTCTCTGGCACGTGACCATCACATATGGTAGCTTTCCCATCCGTCTTAGGTGAGATGGGAAGGCTAGAAGGGGCTGGAGTGAGAGGAATGCCCTTCCCCACAGCTTTAGGACAAAGCTCTGGTAAAGTCTTTCCCCTCGGGAGTAGATCTCTGTTATTTAGAAAGCCCTTGGCATATTTCACAAGCATTACTCTTCCCCTCCACCTGCCAGACCATGAGGGAATGTTCCTCTGATCTTCACCATAAGAAACCAGTGGGTTTCCTAGAGGTAATGCTCACTGAAGCAGCGCTTCCTCTAAGACTGGTTCCCACTGCTGATCCCACCAGTTTATGGCTCCAGCACTTCTGCTCCAGGTAAGTAGATCTTGGCTGTGACTCCAGATTTGTCTGTCTCTCCACGTTTTGGGGAGACAGTTTGCCCTGTAAACTCAGTTCTCTGATGAGTCCAAGAAAAGTCATTGATTTTCAGTTTGTCCAGTTTTTTTCTGTAAGGACTGGAGTGACAACTTCCAAGCTCTTTTTCTGTTGGAACTGAAACAAAGTCCAATGTACTCTTTATATGGCCTTCCATTATACAAATAATCTAAAAAATGAACATTAGTAGAAGGGAAAATCCCCAAAGACACTAATGGTTTTGTTTCTGAAATAATTTAGAAGTAGCAGTCAAAAAACTGAAGAAATACAAGAAAAACCTTTTGAGCAAATAATGTGGTCAATTGCTTTTTAATAACATTTTTTCCTCCATTCAGAGATAACCAGTTAACATATTGCTATATTTCTATTTATTTTTCTTCACAGTGAACAGATAGAAACACATGCCACCAAAATTGGGGTCATACTAGTGTCCTTTTATTAGTCTACCTCGCTTTCATTCACTGAGTGTTATATTTAACCATTTTCTCATGTCATTTAAGTATTCTTTAAAACTATGTATTTAGCATCTGCATAAAAAATTCATTATAAGGATGTATTGTAATTTAACAGTTATGTGTTTGAACATATTACTGTGATGAACATCCTGTGCATAAATTCTTGTGTACCTCTCAAAATTTTCTTAAAATTGCTAGAAACAGAATTACTAGATGAAGAGTTACTGATATTGAGAAGTTATTAATATCATGCTTTTGATATAGATCAATTGCTTTTTGGGTGGTAAAGAGGTTTTTTTTTTTTTTTGAGGAAGATTAGCCCTGAGTAAGATCAGAGCATGGCTTGATAAGCAATACATAGGTCCATGCCTGGGATCCTAACCAGCGAACCCCGGGCCACCAAAGCAGAGCACAAGAACTTAACCGTGGCGCCACTGGACTGGCCCAAAGGTTTTTCAGTAGAGGTGCCTTGGGTGCAGTTTTGAGAGCCAAGCATCCCACAGGACTCTCTTCTCACCTTCATTTAGCACCATGCTGTCTCTGACCCCACCTTTTGTAGTTTTAGCGTAGAATATTTTGTGACATTTGAGTATCATGAGAAATTGAGTACAGAGAAAAGAACGTGAGCTTTATAATCAGACAAACTAGGTGAGTCTCTGATTATCTACAACTTAAGTAATTTACCTTTCCTGAGCTTCTTCATTTTTCTCACTTGTAAAATGGGGATAATAGCTTCCTTTCCAGGTGATTGTGAAAATTAAACATCATTCATTCAACTTTCATTGAACAAATGATTGAGTGCCTACATGTGACTATGCTGGGTGCTAAGGATACAATGATAAACAAAAGCACGCTAGACTGTTTTTGTTTTGAGCTTTCAGTCTGCTGGGAAAGACATCCATCACATAAGCCTGTAAGTTAAAAATGGAACTGTGACCTTGAGCTCTAAGAGCATCTGACAGGCAGATCGGACCTCAGGGGGTCAGAGAAGGCTGGGCTGCTCTGTGGAGGCGATGATGGAGGGGAGATGTGAAGACAAGGAGGTGACTGGGCGTGGAGGGTAGGATGGTGAGTGTTCTCATCAGAGGGAGTAGCATACAAGGGGCTCAGTGGAAGCGTGAAGGAGGGAGCATGGGAAAGGCTGCGGGGGCCCATGTGGCTGGAGCAGGAAGAGCAGGGGAAGTGCATTGGGGGACCTGCCCCGTAGAGTCTTGTTGGCCAAGTTCAGTTTTTGTCATTATCCTAAGAACGATAGGAGGCTGAGGGAGAGTGGGCAGTAACATGCACATTTGCATTTTAAAGTCAGAATCCTGACTGCAACCCATGGGGGACGACGGGGTGGGAGGGAGATGATGAGTGACTGCAGGCCAACCTGCACAAGCTGTTATGAGTCTCAGACAGAGATGACGGCAGGTTGGATTAAAGCGATCCTGGAATGCATTTCTAGGCCTAGAATGGAGCCACTCCAGCCCAGAAAGCCACGTCAGCAAAATGAAATTTAGAAGACTTTCACATTCCTCTGAATGTTCTTCTTGACCAGAAACGCAGTGTGTCCACTCAGCCAGCCCCCAAACAGTCACCAGCTAGTTACCCCAAGGAACTCAAGGGTGGGGCGGATATTTTAACTGCTTTTTCAAATTGTTCGTTTTCCTTTTGTTCTGTTAAGGAGATGTCATCACCACCCTCCCTGAACCAGACCAAGCCTCACCACAAGAGCTACACCTATGACCTTTGCCTTATTTTTAATGCTAAGATCTCTCCAGGAGGAGCTTAGGCCTTATCACTGTAACCCGCAGTGTGTGTGGAAGAATGTCTTCTAACTGAGCCTGCGCAAGCGAATACCCATCTCTCCCTTTTGAATATTCATTCCCCATCCGAAATAAATGTCCCTGCTTCCCTTTCTTCGGGGACGCCGGAACTCTGGAAATGATTCCTCGTGGTCTCCTATTTGCCACAAATATACTTTACTGTGAGACAACTCCTTCTGGTGGAGAGTCTGATTTAACTCACCAGGAAGGAACCCACTTCGGTTTCGGTAACAATACGAAGCCAGCTCTGGGCTCTGTACCAACTTCCTTGTTCCCTATTCACTCTCTGTTTTTCTCTTCCTTGTTCCTTCTTCTTTATCCCATAAAAGCTTCCTGGCTTCCAGCCATTTTGCAGTTCTCTGGACCCTTAGGAATAGAGACTACTCACTTCATGAGCTTTAATGCTTTGTGTTAAATAAAGTTTGTTTGTATCGCCTAAATTGTCGTCTTTAATCATTTTTAACAGTGGTAATGGTGAAAATGGAAAGAGACGAGTAATTTGAGAACTATTTAAGAGGTAATATCTAATTATTGAGAGGAATCAGTGAATTCAGAGTGAGACGCAGCTCTCTGGTGTGTGACTTCCTCCAGCAGCATTGTGCCACTAAAACTCAGCAGATGCAGGAATGCAGGGCCTGATGATGGACCAGGGATTCTACGATGCATAAAAAGCAAGTGAGGATAGGGGAAGGCATATATATGATGGGGTGAATAGGAGGTTCAGTGGACTGCAGGTGCTGACGAGGTTAGAACGTGGCTGCAGGAGTGGTGGATAAGCAACTTGGAAGGACTGGCAGGAGGAGACGGTGGGAGACGGACATACTGAGGTCACTGATTCAGAAGAAGGAGCGGTTTCAGTGATGACAAGGGTCAGCATGGGGCCATGGAAGAGAGTTCCATTTGATTATATTAGTCATCCCTCTCCCGCCTGCTGCAGGTGGTCACAGCCTAAAGGAAAAGGGTTTTTGTTGTTTTTTTGTTGTTTTACAAAAGGGAGGACTAATAGTCTGGAAAAAATATGTCTGTAAAGCCCCTACACAGTGCCTGGTGCGTAGTCGATGCTCTACAAGTGAGCGAGTCTTCGTTGGACTGCTGCTGCCCCTACTGAGCTGTCTCTGGGGTCCATGCTCTATGAAGTCGTTTTAGAACCTTTTCCTGAAACCAGACTTCTTTACAGGCTGGGAAATTCAACTTTAGCATGAAGAGGGTCTGGGCAAGATTTCTGTGGTTTTAAGTAACATCTTGTAGTCAGAATCATTCTCTGAGACTACCTCTCCAGTGTTCCACTCACATTCTGGTCACTGATCTGTTTTCATCACCTTTTCAGAGATACATCCATTCTGTAACGAGAGAAACATAAGTTGTAATAATGTCCTGAAAGACGTCTTATCAGTTTGCTAGGGCTGCTGTGATGAAAGCACCACAAACTGTGTGGCGTAGAACAACAGAAATTTATTCCCTCATAGTTCTGGAGGCTAGAAGTCCAAAACTGGGCTGTTGGCAGTGTTGGTTCCTTCCGAAACCCATAGGGGAGAATCTTTCCTTGCCTCTTCTACCTACTGGTGGGTGCCGGCACTCCTTAGTGTTCCTTGGTTTGTAGATCATCCCTCCAATTGCCGCCTTTGTGGTCACGCGGGCAACTTCTCCCCTGAGCCTCTTGCCTCTTATGAGGACACCAGTCATCTTAACTAATTACATCTACAATGACCCCATTTCCAAATAGGCCACATTCTGAGGTACTGGGGGTTAGAACTTCAATAAGTCTTTTTGAGGGGGACACAATTCAACCTCTAACAGACAGATTTAAGAGAATCCACGCTAAATATTTCTGTGTTCACATTGTCCTGAGGATAACGTGTCCAATAACTGTGAGCCCCAGTGCTGTGGATTAGATTTGCTGCTCTAAATATAAAACCTAAGGGGCTGGCCCCGTGGCCGAGTCGTTAAGTTCACGCACTCCGCTGCAGGCGGCCCACTGTTTCGCTGGTTCGAATCCTTGGCGCACACATGGCACTGCTCATCAAACCACGCTGAGGCGGCGTCCCACATACCACAACTAGAAGGACCCACAACGAAGAATATACAACTATGTACTGGGGGGCTTTGGGGAGAAAAAGGAAAAAAATAAAATCTTAAAAAATATATATATATAAAACCTAGTTCGGATGCACCCAGGAGGTGTGGAATGAGTTTTGCCTAGTTTAGGGGTTGAATCTCTGCAGACAGGAGCGCTTGGCTGCCGCAGCAGCAGGGAGCCTGAGTGACTTGGTGAGCACAGCCCCTCAGTAGTCATCAAGTTCCCTGCAAGGGAGTCGAATGTTTAAGGCTCATTTACTCATCTTGCTTCAAAATGGTTGTTTGGGAGTATAAGTAATTCATTACCAAATCTTAAAGATGTTCCTTGGTTTCCATCTTATTTTTTAGTTAGGTTAAATAATGGCCAGGAACCACAATTAGATGTTTGTGTATTATCACAATATATTGCAGTTGCACAGAAGGACTGGGTTTCACTGAGCCTCAGGAGAATGTAAAATGAATTGCAATAACAAAATCTACTTTGGCACCGTTTAGTTCAATTGAAAATGATAATGGAATTCAAACTGCCTACAGCTGCACGAAACATGCTTCATTCTTGATTTGGCCTCCAGAAGACACAGCAACAACAGCATTCAATAGAGCTGCTGTTTTGAGCTGTGTGCTGGAAGGAGCATGGACTCCGGAATCAGGTCTGAACTTGATTCCAGCCTCCAAATCTTGAGTTTTCCACTGTAGTAAGTAGAAAAATGACCCCTCAAAGATGTCTGTACCCTAGTCCCTGGAAACTGTGAATCTGTTACTTTATATGGCAAAAGGGACGTTGCAGATTTGGTTAAGGTACAGACCTTGAGATGGGAGAGTATCCTGTGTTACTCAGGTGGGTCCAATCTAATGACATGAGTCCTTAAAAGCAGAGAAGCTTTCCCAACTGTGCTTAGAGATGTAGTGAGGAAAGAGGGTCAGAGAAACGGGGTGTCGCTGGCTTTGAAGATGGAGGAAGGGACCGTGAGCCAAGGAATGCAGGTGGCCTCTGGCAGCTGCACAGGAAGAAAATAGATTGTCTCCTAGAGCCCCCAGAAGGAATACAGCTCTGCCAATGGTTTGATTTTAGGACTTCTGACCTCTAAAACTGAAAGGTAATAACGTTGTCATGTTCTAAGCCACTAAGTTTGTGGTCATTTGTAAAGCAGCAATGGAAACCCAATATAGCCACTTACTAGCTGTATGACTTTGTGAGTCTTGGTTTTCTTGTCCATAAAAAACAATAAAATAATATTGATCTTGTGCAGTTTATATGCAGATTCTGAGATGATGTGTGTAAAACCCATTGTTAATCCCTCCATGACTTATGTTAGGAATCCAGTCCTGAGGAGTCTGATTATCTTCTCTCAGGTGCCCTATCTCCACCTGGGGCCCAGCTGCCATCAGGTGGGTGGTTACAGCTGGTCACATGGTCCATGCTTTCTATTCAAGTGTGATGTGTGGACCAGCAGCATCAGCCTCACTGGAAAGCTTATTAGAATCACTGAATCTCAGGCCTCACCCTGGACAGATGGAGTTAGAATCCGTTTGTGTGTGTGTGTGTGTGAGGAAGATTAGCCCTGAGCTAACATCTGTGCCAATCTTCCTCTATTTTATGTGGGACACTGCTACAGCATGTTTTGATGGTGCTAGGTTCACGCCCGGGTTCCAAACCTTTGAACCCGGGGCCACCAAAGTGGAGCAGGCAAACTTAACCACTACGCCACCGCGCAGGTCCCAGAATCTGTATTTTTTAACAAGATGCCCAGGTGATTCATATGTACTCTAAAGTCTGAGAGACTAGACTCATGGTTCTCAAACATCGTAGATGCTAATACAACACATGCCTGGGCCCAGAATTAGTGAGCATGGGGCTTCAAAATCTGTATTTTTAATATGCTTCCTAGTTATTTCTAATGCACAGAGGGTTCTAACCACTGGAATAAATACTTAGAAATGTACTTCAGTATATGAAATTCAAATCAGATTTGTAAAATTTTCAATACCTTTTTCCCTAAGGAAATAGCTATGCTATGTAAGCATTTACTAAGTGCTGCATTTAAAAAAGATACATGAAGGGATGGACATCAAAGAACAGTGAAAGCACGTCCTCATTGGTTCTGACTGTTCTGATTCCTATTCTGGCTTTATCGTAACACTTGACTAGACTCTTCTTTCACAAGATGCATCCAGATCTGCTTCCTTTAGAAGCAGTGCCTCTTAGCTGACTCTTCAACTGTGGAGCCTGGGCATTAAAAGCTTCCAGCTGTATTCTTTTTAGCAAGAGAGATCTAACTGCTTGTTACAATTATCAGAAGACACACAGGAGATGTTGGAAGGCCTCCTCTGTTCTAGGAGCACCTGCATCTCTTCCTCCACAGACAGAAGCACAGAGAGAGAGCTCGGCAGTTTTAATCTGGCAGCCCAGCCACACCTCCAGGTGGCATGGCCCAGAGCACAGAGTTTTACTCCAAGAACCAAAACTTGTGATGCTTCTCTCTAGCACACCCAGGGTGGACCACCCAGTCTTGAGAGAGTGCTCAGGGTCAGACTCTTACCCGGGAGCTCCAAGTCCAAAGAGCTGGATGAGAGCTATAGACGGGAGCCAAAAGCAAGTATGGGAGCCGAGTGCTAACCGGCGTGGGAGGGCAGCAGGTTAGGAAGGCCGTGATAAAGTTCCTGCACAGTTGCCACCAGCAGCTCTGAGGAATTTGTGGCTCTTCATTAGGCAGCAAGGATGTGATGCGGGTGCCCTGGACTGGCTTTTAGGGCAGGGTGGAGAGGAGCACTGTCCCCTCAGAGCTTCCCCCACGAAGAGCAGAGTGAGCTGGACTTAGGCCCAACCAAGGGGGTCCTAGAGAAAACTCACCATTGTCGCCAGCAAGGGCTTGGCAGCCCTCTTGACAAGGGCCGCTGACAAGCACATTCCATTCAGGCTCTTACAGCTCTAGCAATGGCCCCTGAGGTCCCAGCAGGCCCAGCTCGTTGACCCAGAGCCTACCAGCTGTGCCCACAGGTGAGCGTCTTCCTGAGGACTGGTGATGCGGGCTTGGGCAGGCCATTCCGGGGTCTCCTCTGCAGTGAACATAAAACACTATGACCATCTTTTTGTTATCAGAAATCACAATTTTCCATTGTTAGAAAGAAAGAAAGAGGCATACCTCCATCTACACTTCTTTCAGTGTCCTGAAATATGTGTATAATTCCTATTCTTTCACTGAGGTTACCCTCTCCCACAATAAACCATTTAAAATGACATTGAAGCAAACCCCATGTGGTGTACAGGAGAGATATAATCTGGTTTGACCACCCAGACTCCAGGGGCTGAGCAGACACTTGACTGAATTTTGTTCTCTGCTGCTGGCTGGCTGTGGCTTAAAGC